TAAAACCAAAAAAAATTAAATCATTTTATTAAGATTAATAAATAAATAAAAAAAAAAAAAAAAAAATAGATGGTGGTTTAGAATTGCTTAACAGGTGAATACAAAGTAAATCTAAAAAATACATGAAAATGATGTCATTCTTGTTAAATATGTATTTTTTTTTTTAGTATATAATCTAAATTTGATTCCTGTAAATTTTTTTAAATTACAAAATTTTTTTTAAAAAAAAAAAAATAAATTATGAGAAAAAAAAAAAAAAATTACTTATTTGTAATGGTTTTGTTATACTTTGTAGTTTAGTTGCACTTTTTTATAACATTACATTCAATTATAATTTTGTTTAATAGAGCAAGCTTGTTTAATAATACTGTTGAAATAAAACATTTCTGATGTACATTAAGAAATAAATAAAGTTATTAAAAATTGTTTTTTTAAAATTTATTCTTATGACACTACAAGTCTGTACCTTGAGCTGTACTAACTGTACAATTAACAAAAACCTAAAAATTTTACAAAGCCCACAAGGCGGATGATAGAATGAATGACATCATAATGTATTGCACCTTTTGTGATTTTAATAATTTCAAATAAAATGAGCAAAATAAACCACACATAATTACACTTATTAAATTAATAATGATTTAATTTTCTACAAAAATTATTTCATTCTGTAACTGAGTGAAATTTTATTTTACAGAAGATTTTAGCTTAGACATATCTGTTATTTAAATTTAAAAGCGAATTTAATGCAATACATACAATTTTAGATGATATTGTAGGTTGCAAAGTACCTGACAACAAGCCTTTCCAAACACAAACAAATCATACCACTAACAATAATGACTTTTATGTAATTGAAATTTAAAGAAAGTCATCAGTTCTTTAAAACAAAAAAAAAAAGCAAAGGGTATTTTAAAGAAAATTACAATTACCTTTTGATGCTATCAGAAAACAATTGTAGTGAATAAAAAAAAAAAAAATTATTAATCAAACCAATAAAATAAAAATTAAAATGGGGGCGACAATAATTTCATTGCATAATAAGCAAGATTAACACCAAATTTAACTTGACAAAACTTTACCAAAGCATAAATACAATTATTATTCACAATTCATAATATAGGTTTCCAAAAAATACCTGTCATATCAAAAATTAATATCAAATCACGATGATTTTCGTTGGTGAATGAAAAGATTGCTCAGCTGGAATGGAAGAAACTAGAAATGAGACGCGATTTTACTTCCGCCCCTGAATCAAAGTATTTGACAACTTTTAAGCGACTGTCACAACTGAAAATTGTTCACAATCATAAAATGCACCCTTATCGGTGAAAATTAATTAGCATCATATGAAAAAATACCGTTAATATGCTCAATAAATGAAATACCTTGGCGTTCTATGAGAAGCTTCATCAAGACGCCATGACAGCATTACAAACGGATGGCATCCTATTTTCTTAAGAGATTTCTATTGTTTTGCAAATGAAAACACTTATCATAATAATCAAAAATTATAAAAAAGTTTTCAATCTCTATATTTCGGCAAAGTCAATAATGAATTCATTCAAATTAAATTAAATATATAACAAAAAACAAGCTTACCTTACAATCGAACTACTGCCCGCTCCACTTCTGAAAAAAACTACTGCGCATGTCAAATGGACATTCGTTCAGCGACTTTAAAATTTAAAATTTACCAATTAATTCTTACATGGAATAATTATAAATAAAAGTTTTAAAACGATCGAAAATAAATTATATTATTCATAAATTTATATAAAATATCAATCGTTTAAATAAATTAGAACAATTACCGAAAGCTGACATTTGGTAGATAAACGGATGCTGATTTGACTATTTAAATCTTTGAAAATGTAAATAAAAATAATTCCAGTAAAATCGGCACTTGAAGGAATACAATTTTATCCGATCATTATCTGATTTTAGTTAATGATTGTATAATTATTTACTTTAAACCCATTTTTCCTTTTATTTCAAAATTATTAACAGCGATGACATGACTAATATCAATTAACGGATGCCCTTTCTATTCTATCTACTTTACCCACAAAACTTCAATTTTTTAAATTACTTATTTTAAAATAATTACATTTATTCAAAGCTCTATGTTTTTCTTAAGAAACCAAAAAATCAAACGTTTTTTTTTTAAATATCAAAATATATAAAATTAATTTTCGTTTTGGATTTTAAAAAAAAATTTGTTTTACAAAAAAAAAAAATTTTTCTTTTATGAAATTAAATAAATAAATAAATTATAAGAAAATAAAAATTAAAAATTCATTCGATACATTTATCAAATTAAAAACTTGTATTAATTAAAAAATTTTCATTTAAAAAAATCAAAAAACTAAAATTTAAAAAAAAAAAAAAAAAAAAAAAATTAGGTTGGCATCAGTGCAATACCTTTTAAGCACTCTCAAAAACATTTATCATGAAACTTCAAATTCCATGAATAATTTTGTTAATATTTTTCATTTTTTGTTTTGATATACAAAAAAAAAAAAAAAAAAAATTTTGTAAATAATGACGAGTTTCGTTGAAGGAAACAGTTCTCCTACTTATAATTTTAAAGTAGTTTTACTTGGGGAAGGTTGCGTTGGAAAAACATCTGTTGTTTTGCGTTATGTTGAAGATAAATTTAATTCTGATCACATAACGACACTACAGGTATCAAAGAATAAAATATCAATTATTTACTCATTGCAGTTTTAAAATTATTAACAATCATTTAAAACCATCACGATTCCCTGATTTTTCAAATAATACAGTTTATATTGTGTATCACCCATTTCATGTACAATGTTTCTATACCTGTGAAAAGATAATTTATTTTTTTCCAGGCATCCTTTGTTAAAAAAAAAATAAATATAGCTGGAAAAGCAGTTAATTTAGCCATTTGGGATACAGCTGGCCAAGAAAAATTTCATGCATTAGGACCAATTTATTATAGAATGTCAAATGGTGCTATATTGGTGTATGATATCACAGATGAAGATTCATTTAACAAAGTTAAAAATTGGGTTAAAGAATTAAAAAAAATGTTAGGGGGTGATATATGTTTAACAATTGCTGGAAATAAAATCGATTTGGAAAAAGATAGAAATGTTCCTATTGATGTTGCCGAAGAGTAAGAATTAAACTCGATAAATAAATTTTCGATACCTAAAAAAAAAAAATTTTTTTTTTTCGTTACTACAATCGATATAATAATTACAGATATTCATCATCTGTTGGAGCGAAACATTTTCAAACATCTGCAAAACATAATCTAAATATAGATGAATTATTTTTAGAATTGACCCAAAGAATGATATCTAGATATGATCAATTAGAAGCTATAAAATCATCTAAAGGAGGAACAATGAAAAAAAATATCGTAGTCGTTGATGATGATCAAATTGAAAACGATCAAAAAAAACAGGGATGCTGCGGAACTTCATAGAATTATTTATTCATTCCATTTATGGAACCTATTCTTATGAATTAGAAAATGCTTAAATACATTCTAAAAAGCTGATTATTATATATGATGGCTTAATATCTTGAGCTGTTCGAAAAAAAAAACAAAACAAAACAAAATTACAAATGTTTAATTCGAAAAAAAAAAAAAAAATTATTAATCAATCAATAATTTACATATATATTTATAATAATAATAATAATAATGAGTAAATTATTTTTTTTAATCTTTATTCATATGCAAAATAATAATAATAATTAATCAACAATCGAAAATGTTTATACATTATATAATAAATTACAGTATTTTTTGTAAATCGATTATAAGAAAAAAAAAAAGCTATTTATGATTATTATTATCATTATTATTATTACCATTTTTTACTCCTGATGTTAATAATTAAAATGAAATAATGCTTTTTAATCATTTGCTAATTTTAAAAAATTATATATTTATATTGGCTGTTATTTAAAAAAGTTTGAAGATT